ACGGGAGTCCTTCACATTGAAATGAAAGGACACTAGACAGTAACTTTAATCTACATAAAGACATAAAGAACAACAGTAAAGGTAACTACATAGGTAAATATAAAAGTCAGTATTACTGTGTTTTTAGTTTGTAACTCTCCATTTTTCATACAGTATTTAAAAGACAAATGCATAAGACTATAACTATAAATCAATGTTGATGGACACATAATATATAAAGATGTAATTTTTGACAATAACAATATAACAGAGGGACAGAGTTATATAGGAGCAAATTGGTATTATTATGAACTAAATTTCTATAAATCAAAACGTTAACTGTAATCTCCAGGAAACCCATTAATAAAATAACTAAAAATATATAGTAAAAGAAACAAGTGAATTAAAATGGCACACTAGATAATATCTAACACAAAAGAAGGCAATAATGCAGGAAAGAAACATTGAGTGAAAAAAAAAAGCCCGGAAGTAAAGGCTGAAATGACAGAAATAAGTTCATCCTTATCAGTAATTACATTAAGAATAAATGGATTAAACTGTATGGTTAAAAGAGAGATTGGAAAAATGGAAAAAAAATACCACTGTGTGCCATCTACAAGTGACTCACTTTAGATTTAAGGATGAAATATAATGAAAATGAAAGGATGGAAAAGATATTCCATGCAAACAGTAACCTAAAGACAAAACAGACTTTAAGACAAAATAGACAAAGAGACTTTAAGACAAAACTTGTTTAAAAAATAGATTAAAAAAAGAGATTATTAAATGATAAAAGAGCCAACCCATCAAAAAGTTATAACAATTGCAAACATATTGGCAACTAACAAGAGTCAGAAAATACATGAAGCAAAAAATGACAGAATTGAAGGAAAGGATAAACAGTATACAATAATAATTGAAGACTTCACTACCCCACTTCAATAACGGATAGAAAATCAGAAAGGGATTAGAAGACTTGAACAACATTATAAACCAATGAGACCTAACAGATATGTACAGAACACTCTATCCAATGACAGCAGAATACAAATTATTCTCTAGTACACATGAGACCTTACCCAGGGCAGAGCATATATTAGACCACAAAACAAGTCTAAGTACATTTTAAAATACTGAAATCATACAAAGTATTTTCTATTATATAATGGAATGAAATTAGAAGTTAATTACACAAGGAAATATAAAAAATCAACATACTCCTAAATAACCAGTGGGTCAAACAAGAAATCAAAAGGGAAATTAGAAAATACCTTGAGATGAATGAAAATAAAAACACAGTATATCAAAACTTATGGGGTGTGGCAAAAGCAGAGCTCAAAGAAAAATTTATAGCTGTAAACACCTACATTAAAAAGAATGATCTCAAATCAATAATCTAACTTTCTAACCATAAGAAATTAGAAAAAGAACAAAGTAAACCCAATGCCAGCTAAGAAAAGGAAAGATTAAATATTAGAGCAGAGATAAATGAAATAAAGAAGAGAAAAACAATAGAGAGCATCAAAAAAACAAAAGTTAGTTCTTTGAAAAGGTCAACAAAATAGACTTAACCTTCAGCTTGACAGATAAATAAAGAGAGAAGACTCAAATTATCAAAATCAGGAATGAAAGTGAGGACATTATCACTGACTTAATGAATAAAAAGGATTATAAGAGAATAGTAAGAAGAATTATACGCCAGCATATTAGTTAACCTAGACAAAAGGAAAAATTCCTAGAAACACACAGTCTACCAAACTGACTCGTGAAGAAATAGAAATTCTGAATAGACCTATAAGAAGGGAAGTGATTGAATCATTAATCCAAAAACCTTTAACAAAGACCAGAACTAGATGGATTCACTGGTGAATTCTACCAAGCATTTAAAGTAACAACAATACTTAAACTTTACCAAAAAATAGAAGAGAAGAGGACACTTCCTAACCCATTCTGTAGGCCAGTATTACCTTGACATCAAAGCCAGATAAAGACATCACAAGGAAATGAAACTACAGACCATTGTCTCTTAAGAATGTAGATGCAAAAATCCTCAAAGAATACTAGCTATGTGAATCTATCAGCATACTCAGAGGATTATATACCATGATCAGTTGGGATTTATCCCAGAAATTCAAGGGAGTTTCAACATATGAAACAATAAATATATTATACCATAGTAATAGAATATAACACAAAAAGCACATGTATCTCAATTAATGCAGAAAAAGCATTTAACAAAATTCAACAGCCTTTCATAGCAAAAAATCACTCAGAAACTATCAATGGAAGGGAACTTCCTCAACCTGATAACAGGTATCTATGATAAAAACCTCAGCTAACATCATATTTAATGATGAAAGACTGAAAGCTTTCCCCTTAAGATCAAAACGAAGACAAGAATATCCACTCACCACTTCTATTCAACATTGTACTGGAAGTTGTAACCCGAGCAATTCGGTGAAATAAATAAATAGATAAATAAAATAAAATAAAAAACAACCATATTGGATAGAAGAAAATAAAACTATGTGTATTTACAGATGACACAATTTTATATATAGGGAACTGTAAAAAACCCACAAAATACATACTAGAGGTAATAAAAAGTTAAGTAAAGTGGTGGGATACAATATTAATACACAGAAATCAGTTTTATTTCTATATACTAGCAATGAGCAATCTTAAGAGGAAATTAAGAAAACAATTCCATTTAAAATACCATCAGAAACAGTAAAATACTTAGGAATAAACTTAACCATGAAGTGTAAGACTTGTCCACTGAAAACTATAAACTGCTGAAACTAAAGGACACCTAAATAAATGGAAACATCCCACATACATGGATTGAAGACTTAGTATTGTTAAGATGGTAACACTCTCCAAACTGGTCTACAGTCTTGATGTAATCCCTATCAAAATTCTAAGTGCTTTTTTTTTTTTCCCAGAAATGGGCAAGCTGATCCTAAAATTCATATGGAACTACAAGAGACCCAGAATAGTAAAACCTATCTTTAAAAAGAACAAATTTGGAGGACTCACACTTCCTGATGTCAAACTTACTACAGTGCTAATTATAAAAAGTTTGGTACTGGTATAAGGATAGGCATATAGAAAAATGGAGTAAAACTGACAGTCCAGATATAAACCCATGCATCTATAGTCAACTGACTTCTGGCAAGGGTGCCATGATCATTCAATGGGGGAAAGAATAGTTTCTCCAATAAATGGTCCTGGGCAACTGGATAGCCACATGCAAAAGAATGAATTTAGACCCCTACCTCATACCATATACAAAAATTAACTGAAAATGGATCCGTAAGCTAAGTATAAGAGCTAAAACCACAAACCCCTTAGAGGAAAACATAGGGGTAAATTTTCCTGACCTCAGATTTGGTGATGGATTCTTAGATATGACACCAAAATCACAAACAAAAGAAAAAAAAATACGTAAATTGGACTTAATCAAAATTTAAAAAAACTGTGCATCAAAGGACATGACCAAGAAGTGAAAAGACAACCCTCAGAATGAGAAAAAAAAACACTTTGCTAATCACATATCTGATAAGGGACATGGATCTAAATGATATAAAAAAAGTGTTACAACTCAGTGCTAAAAATGCAACCTGATGGCAAAGGATTTGAATAGACATTTCTCCAAAGAAGATATACAAATGGCCAATAAGCATAGAAAAATTCACTGGGGAAATGCAAATCAAAACCACAATGAGATACCACTTCACACCCAATTGGATGGCTATAATAAAAAAGACAAGGGTTGGAAAAGATGTGTAGAAACTGGAACCCTCCCACACTGTTGGTAAATATAAAATGCTGCAGTCATTTTGTAAATCAGTCTATAATTTCCTCAAAAAATTAAACAGAGAGTTAACTTATGACCCAGCAATTTCTTAGATATATATTTAAGGGAAATTAAAATATATATCTCCACAAAAATGTGTACACAAATAGCAGAATTATTCATAATAGACAAAATTTGAAAACAACCTAAATGCCCACCAACTGATGAATGGATAAACAAAATGTATACAATGCAATATTATTCAGTCGTAAAAAGTAATGAAGTACTAATACATGCTACAACATGTATGAACCTCAAAAACATTGTTAAGTAAAAAAAATCAGACACAAAAAGCCACATATAGTATGATTTCATTTACATGAAATCCAGAATAGGAAAACCCATAGAGACAGAAGGTAGATTAGTGGTTACCAGGGACTGGAGGATGGGGATGTTTTAAAGGAAATGTGGAGTTACTGCAAATGGGTGCTGTGTTTCTTATTTGGGTGATGAAAATGTTATGGAATTAAATAGTGGTGATGGTTGCACAACAATGTGAATATACTAAAAATCACTCAATTGTACATTTTAAAATGGTGAGTTTTATGTTGTGTCAATTTTATCTGAATAAAAAAAAATTTAAATGCTTTCCTTAACATCACAAAAGAAAAAAACATTAGAGACATAACAAACCACAATCATCTTTGAAGAGTCTTTTTATTAATATATCCAGGTACACTTTTTTGGATACACATATAATCAAAACTGGCCTTCTTAAATAAACACTTGTATTTATTTTCAAAATGGGATTCCAATCTTAATTTTTCCAAAGCTTATAATAAAGTTATATTTGGGAAAGATAATTCTAACTCTTAGTATTACATGAAAATAGTTTACATTCTTTATAAGAGCAATCTAGAGAACTGCAGGAATGTTGGATGAAGTTCTTTCTTTTGGGACCTCCCCACTTTGTGAAATTATCATATATGTAGAAAAACCAAAACAAAACAAAACAAAACAAAAAAACCTCGTTGCTGTGGAGATGATTCTGACTCACAGAGACCCTACTGGACAGAGTAGAACTGCCCCATATAGTTTCCAAGGAGTGGCTGGTGGATTTGAACTGCTGATCTTTTGGTTAGCAGCTGAGCTCCTTAATCACTGCGCCACCAGGACCCCATATATGTAGAAGTAAAATTAAAATCCAAAGATTTAACACAATTTACACAAAAGTGAATTCACTAACAAAGTTGAAAGCTATCACTGCATATTTTTTGTATATATTCAACTATTATAATCACAAAATTTATAAAGGTTTCATATTAGGAATTTTGTGGCTAATAATCAGTATGAAGATGTTCTGTAATTAAACTGATGCTAAAGAAAAGCTGTGTTTATAAAATATTTGATAAAAATATTCATCTCTATTAACATTATGTCATGGGGGTACATATTACCAAATTATGAAGCTGTATAGGGCAGCTTTAAACAATACTCTGAGACTCTTCTTTTCCAACTTCTTCCTTTTTGGCTTCTTTCTTTCCAACTTCAGCCTCATTTTCATCTTCCTTTCCATTTCCTCCATCTTTCCCTTCTCCTTTTCCATATTCTTCTTTACTATCTTCCTCCTCCTTTCCTTCTTCCTCTTTTCCATCTTCTTTCTTTTTTCCATCTTCATCCTCTTTTCTATCTTCATCTTTTTTCCCTTTTCCATCTCCGTCCTCTTTTCCATCTCCTTTCTTTTCTCTGTATTCTTCTTTTTTTTCGTATTCTCCTGTCTCTTTTCCATCTTCTCCTTGCCCTTTTCCATCTTCATTGTCTTTTCGATCTCCATTACCTTTTATGTCTTCTTCATCTTTTCCATCTTCTCTTTTCTGTTTTGCATCTTTGTCCTCTTCTCCATCTTCCTTCTCTTTTCCATTCTTGTCCTCTTTTCCATCTCTTCTTTTCTCGTCTTTATTTTGATTTTCCTCATCTCCTTTCCGATCTTGTTTTTCATCATCTTTTCCTTCTGCTGTCACTGCTTCTTTCTTTTCTCCTTCCTCCTCAACGTCTTCTATTTTTCCATCTTTCAGCTCCTCAATTTCTTTTTCAGGAGCTAGTGCCTAGTTTTATAGAGAAAAAAAACAAAACAAAACCAAGATTCTATTTGTAAATTTAGAAGTATTTTCCCTAAATATCTAGACAGAATTATATCTATTTTATGGAAAGGATAATTCTTCATTTACAAAAAATAAATTTTCCTGTGAAAAAGACCTCTTAAGTATCACATCATCAGGAAAACATTCTAAGAAATAGGATTAGCTAAACTATCTCTACACAAACATCAACAAATAGATATTTGGAAAAATAATTTCAGGAAAACTCATTCGTATGAATGATTTTCATTACAAATATAAGGAAACACAAAGGGAATAGAAAAAAATGACAGATTTATTCTACATCAGCAATTCCTAATGAGTAGCATGCATGTAAACAAAATACAGCCCTTGGAAAAATAACATATTTTGCTTCTATAATGGGAAGATTTGGGCTTTTTTGATACAGTCACTTGAAAAGTCTTGTACAAGATGTCATAATTTCACTTACAAAAGATTCTCCATATATACACTTTTTGTTTGTTTGTTTTTTAGATTTGGGTACTACATCCCATTTTTAGTGTTTTACTATTTTATCTAGAAATATAGTATGCATTAAACTGCAAAACAGAGCATATTAAAAAATTATATAATTTTTATTTTGTAACCTGAAGAAGGAAAAAAAAAGAACCATATACTCTGGGAAAGGGATTTACAAATAGTCCATGGCTGACAAAAGGAATGGATGATTACCTTATATTTAATAAGAGGGTCATTACATTAGTACTACATCATGACTACTGGTATTTTTCTATTAACAGCAGTGTTAACCCACTCCTCCCATTACTTGTACCTTTAAATTCTCATATTTTAAATTCATTTCCTTTATTTTTACCTCTTAAGTACCATTAAAAGACAGAATCACTACTCATTTATTTTCTGAACCTTTAATCTAAAAAGTTAAGCAGGAACAAGACAAGGATGCCCACTCTTACTACCTCTATTCACATTGTTCTATAAGTCTTAGCCACAGCAATTAGGCTATAAATAAATAAATAAAAGGTACCCAAATCAGGAAGGAGGAAGTAAAACTATTCTTTTTTTGCAGATAATATGATCCTGTACATAGAAAACCCCTAAGATTCTATAAGAAACCTATTAGAGCTAATAAATGAATTCAGTAGTGTAACAGGATACAAGGTTAACACACTAAAGTCAGTTGGGTTTCTATACAGCAGCAATGAGCAATCTGAAAGGGAAATTAAGAAAACATTACCATTTACAATCATTTCAAAAAGCATAAAGTACCTAGGGATAAATTTAACCAAGAAGGTGAAAACTTGTACCCAGAAAATTATAAAATATTACTAAAAGAAATTAAAGAAGATCTAAATAAATGGAAGGCCATTCTGTGTTCACAGATTGGAAGGCTTAATATAGTTAAGATGTGTAAAAATGGTGTGGTGGCAGCGTCTGACCTCTTCTAACTTCACTAGGGGGCAAGAGAATCAAGATCAACAGCCCAAGGCTGATTCCTATGAGGCAGAGGTCAGACATGCCTCCTCTCTCCACCATCTTTACTAATTCTGACACCAACCGTCCCTCCCATGGCACTCTCTACTTCTGTGCCGGGTTCGATAACTCACTACAATGGCCACAGAGAACTCGCAGACAGTACTCACTATTATGGGGTTCATGAGGGAAGTAACAGGTTACAGTTCAGGTTCAGGAACACTCACGATACAGTTCTTCCATCAGGACAGCCTCTTCCTACCTCTCTCTGGCTCCTTGGCCTCTACCTTGCTCATGGGCAAGTGTTACAAAGCTGTTTTGGCTCTGCCAATAAGTGCCCAAAGGTACCCCACTCTGCCAGTAACCCTCGGCCCAAAGGCACTCAGCTCTAGCTCCATGGGTCAGCAAACCTAGCTCTACCAAGTGACTGGAAGCACCCTACTCCTCCAGCAAGCCTCCTGCCCAAAGACACTCAGCTTTCTGGCTCCTTGGTCTGGGAAGACCACTGCACCATCTCCTGCTGCCGTTTCTCTGCCACCACTTCTCACTTCTTCAGTGTTACAGTTCTCTCTCTCTCTCGGTCTCCTGGTTCCAGGTCCACTGTTGGCTCTCCGTCCTTGGTGGTGGTGGGATCCTCCCCTCCTGCCTCTGGGATGGCTCATTTCAAGCCCAGCGGGATGGCAAAACTGACCAATCCCCTTGGTGGGCCACAATTACCTTATTTGCATAGTCCCACCCCATCAGTTGGGTGGGAGTTACAAGAACATGCCGAGAAAGGCCACACAAAAGCGATCCATCGCACCACAAGATGTCAACACGGCCCAAAGCAATCTGTAAATTTAACACAATCCCCATCAAAATTTGCACATTTCTTCTTAGAAGAAATGGAAAAGCAAATCCTCAAATTTATAAGGGATTGCAAGGGGCCCCAAATGGTCAAAGCAATCTTGAAAAAGAACAGAGTAGGAGGACTCACGCTTTCTGATTTCAAAATATACTATAAAGCCACAGTAATGAAAACAGTCTGGTACTGGTATAATGATAGACATATAAATCAATTGACTAGAATTGAGAGTCCAGAAATACACCCAAACATCTATGGCCAACTGATTTTTGACAAGGGTACTAAATCCATTTAATGGAGAAAGAGGATTCTCTTTAATAAAAATGGTGCTGGGAAAACTGGATTTCCACATGCAAAAGAATGAATACGACTCATGGCCACAATGCGATACCTCCTCAACCCCATTAAAATGGCAATGAGCAAAACAAAACAAAAAAGGAAAACATTAGGTGTTGGTGAGGTTGTGGAGAAACTGGAACCCTCATCCATTGCTGGTGGGAATATAAACTGTTGCAGCCACTGTGGGAAACAGTTTGGCAGTTCCTCTAAAAATTGAACATAGAATTACCAAATAACTCAGCAATCCCAATCCTAAGTATATACGCAGAAGAAGTAAAGGCAGGAATGCAAACCGAAACCTGTACACCAGTGTTCACTGCAGCACTTTTCACAATAGCCAAGGTGGAAACAAGCAAAATGTCCATCAACAGATGGATGAATAAACAAAATGTGGTATACACATACAATGGAATATTACTCATCCATAAAGAGAAATGAAGTCCTGATACATGTCATAACATGGATGAACCTTGAAAATGTTATGCTGAGTGAAATAAATCAGTCACAAAAGGACAAATACTGTATGGTCTTACTTATATGAAATAAGCAAATATATAGAAACCAAAGACTATTAATGGTTACAACATGAAAAATATATTCAATGTCATGGAGTTGTAAACGTGGAAATTGTTGTGTTGGCGGATGTTTTGGTATGTATGTTTTCCTCACAATTAAAAAAAGAAAAAAAAATCATCTCAAAAACAGAAAAGGAAATAATGTTTCTTTCAGTTGCACCCATTCTTAAATTTTCAAGTGGACAAATTGTTAACATTGTAGGATACCTCAATAATCTTGGCTTCTCCATTTTCAGCATTTTCACTGTTGTATTCTTCTTTAACAACTTCTTGCTTGGTTTCGGCTATTGCTCTGGCACTTGTATTCACGTTTTTTTCCATCATATCATGTTTCATCTTCATTTTCTGTCCATCAACACAAATAATAGAAATGAAATATACAATTTAAATACAGTGTTGATTAAAAGGCCAAAGTTATTTTACCAGTTGTAATTATTTGTAAAAAAAAAAAAAAAGCCTTAAAATACCACATATAGCCCTGGTATCAACAAAATTATCATTCAACACTTTGTTTCACTGTAAATCTAAAGCAACATTAAAAATTAACAGTGTGTCTCTGATATAAATCAAATATTTTTTTTTTATGTTGAGTGATATAGATGAGAGGCCACAAACTAGAATGCTGACCAGTGGCCACTAAGGGACAATTGCCAGCATCAGGTTAACTTTGATAAATGAACTCTCTGACTACAGTGGACCAGTTTATCTCTTTCAAGTCTAATAATTAGTAACATGGTTTTTTTTTTTTTTTTCCTATAAAGCCTCACTGGTAATAATTAAAAGAAATGCTATGTTACTAAGATCATCAGTTTAGATACATTTGAAAGAGATAACCTGAGGATATAGGTGTTTCTATCTTTGTATCTACAAGTTTTGGAATGCTTTGAATCATGATTGCCTTACTAAGAAAGCTCCTTGCCTAAGTGTATATTGTTTTGTGGCATTGGTTGCCAATCCCGTGAGATGTCAATGCTCTCCCCTTCTTGACCTTGGGTTCCCCATTTCCATTCATCCTGCTTTCCTGTCCTCTCCTGCCTTCTTGTCTTTGCCCCTGAGCTGGTGTGCCCATTTAGTCTCATATACATAGTTGAGCTATGTGTATGATTGTTTGTTTTGTGGGCCTGGAAAGAGCACTTATTTAATTAAGGGGTCAAAAAATTTGTGTTTGAATTCTGGATCTGCCAGTTACTTACTATGATCTTGAACAAAAGCATATAGCTCTTTGAGCCTGTTTTTTCACATATATAAAGAGAGTAATACCTCCTACCTCACCTCACAGGAATGTTAAAAGGAACAAATAAGAAAATACATAAGAAATTTGTTTAGACATTGTAAAATGCAATATAGATATGTTATTACTCTTCTAACATAAGACAAACTGAGGGCCAAAGAGGTGAAAGTAATTTGTCCATGACTTCATATCTGTTTTGTTCTAGAAATCTCTCCTCTTTTTTAAAAGAAAACAAACTGTACTTAATATTTTAACACTGACAAACTGAGTGCCTACTTTTATAGAACAGTGAACTTAAAAAGTAAACTAGAAGAAAAATGAAAAATAACTTTCTTTTCTGGTGTCACAATTAATAGACCAATTATCACTAAAACTTCACTTGCCCTAGTTTTAGCAATATCTTTTAATCAAGGATTTCAATGCATTTTATGAACATGGCTATAGTTTACAGTTTCCTCAACTATAAAATGATAGGATTAGATGATTATTACTAATGTCCTTCCTAGCTGTAAACTTTTATGATTTTAGGAGTTCAAGCGTTAAAACATCCTTATGCATTAGGTAATTAACAATGAACTTAATATTGGGGCTATTTCTACATGTCTTTAGCCACAACATCAGAGCACAGAAGCCTGCATGAAATTCATTGTGTCCATTTAAAAATAATGTATGTGAAAACACTTTGCAGACGGTAAAGTGCTATCAAATGTTAATTATTACTATTATTACAAAGCATTACACTGGTTAATACAGTTTACACCTTTTGTTTTCACAGGAATATTGATATTGTGTCTATATCATGCCAAAGGTATGTACATTTAATGGATCTTATCCAACTGAAACTTTGTTTTATGTCCTCCCAATGAAAATGCCAAAACAGAGTGGACACATCACAAAACATGAAATATCCCACCCAAAGGGCTTATATGTACTATATGGTATAATAAAATACATTACTAACTGAACAGAAAACAAAGGAAAATGATCAGCTGTATGCGTTTTGAAAAATTATTTGGAAAAAAAGCAATTTTCTTTCAAATTGCTTTCCTAGTTGAATATTTACCCTTGGAGTTACTATTCTTTTTGGCTTCAACTCCGGTGTAATGGACACAGGCATCTGCATGAAAAACACAAGTTGTAGAAAAAGAAAATAAGAAAAAATACATAATTGAAGAAAGATGACTAACAATGAAATTCAACTTTCGAATTAAAATAAATAGTTCAAACTGAGCACTAGGGGAAAATTTTCAAAAATAAATCTCATATTAAATATAATACTGTACAGGATTTTCTGGATTTTAAAATTACATTTCACAATGCTTATGCAACTTAAAAAAAAACTACTTACAGCAGAAAGTCTGGCTGATCTCCTCTTTGGCTATATGAAAAAAATCATCAAGAAAATTATAGGTATACAAAACTAGAATTATCTGTATTTCGGTGAAAATATTAAGTGAAACTACACAAATATTATCATTAAAGAAGCAATTTTGAACTTAGAAAATATTGCAGTAGAAATATAGGTTCTGATTTTTCCCGCTTCTCGGCTCTTCATAAGCTAAGGAAAATCCCCCAAATTAAACTTCTATTGCTAGGCTAAATTGTCACAGTGGCTAGTAACAAGGAGCATATTTAGAAATGAACGTATGACCCCATCTTACCAACTGACAAAGCAATTCTTTTGCTTAAAGGGAAGAAGCTCTCTCCAGATCCTGATAGCTCAATAAGGTCCTAAATTACAAGAAGTTTGGAGTTTTCAATACTTATTATATTTCTGAGAGAGCTCGCTGGCATACCATATTGGTACTTATTTGCTACAAATATACCAACCAGCATCTATTTTAAGCTATTGTGTGGCTGAAATTTATAAAACCAGTGAATTTTTTAGGGGGGGTGGGGCGATACAAATTCTAAAACTAAAGCAACTCACCTCCTGCCTCGTATCACCTTGACCCGCAGCCTATAAATAGGAAAAAAAATCACACAGAAAAAAGGTCGTCTATATAAATATACAGATCAGAAAATAATGCCTATAGATTACAGTTGCAAAATAACTGCTTATGACTTTTTCCTTGGTTCCTGCTCAAGCAGCCACCTGTTGTTTCCTAGTAGCCATGCCACATACTGCTGTTTACTAATGTGCAAATATGCACCAAGATGCAAAAGCATGCTCAGAAAAAAGTTTAGACAACCGATAGTTAATTTCATCCTTTTGTGTAAATCTCATCTCCTAAAAACAAACCTTCTTAATTTTTAAATCACCTGTTGTAGTCTGACACTGTTAACGCCCCAAAAAAGTGTGGGGGCGGGGAGAATGAAGGCGGGACTGTGCAATTTCCCTGTCTCTCTACCTTGCCTTGTGCCTATGTGATCCTCTCCTGACTCTGGACTATTCCCCCCCCTCCGCCCCCGCCAAATTTTGCATAAGAACTACAACCCCCATAATCCTTTGGGGGGGGGAACCTCTCTTTGTTCCAACGTCAATGCGTTATCCCAAAGAGCCGGCCGCGGATTTTAAAACTTCCCGCCACTACCTGCTAAAAGGTTGCTGTCAGCTACGTAAAATAGCAAGACCCATTGCACAAGCCTAGAAAAGCGCAGCAGCGGGAATCCCATGAAGAGTGAAGGTGATTAGAAACGATTTATTTCCATATATGAGCAGCCTTTAGTCTGAAAATAATCAAGTTACTGCACCGTTCATACTCACAGCCCCAGAACACCAGGGAATCTCAGTCATACTCCTATGTTCTAGGACTAGAGAAGGCGGGGCGGATAAATAGGAAAAATATCAAAACAATCATAATGGTTAATTAGCATACAGTGTTTTACAGTTTTACCAAGCAATGAAACAGCATTCGGTTTTACTTCTAAGGGGCCCAGAAAAAACACCAGGTGTGAATTTATTTCCCGTCTAAAAGAGGAGCCAGGAATTTTGAAGTGAGATTTGCAGGAGCCCTATAACCCTATACCTTAAATCAATTCTGCATGTTTCAAGTGAACAAATCCATGCTACCCCTAACATCAGCAACAGCATATCAGACACAGTTCTCTTTTGCCCTTTCTACCTTTAGCTAGAGAGCTTGGAGAGCACCAGATCTCTCAGCCTTAAATTTGCTAATTATAGAGGTGAATCTCTCCCTTCTCTAGGACGGTTAGAAGTCTGCGCCGCCTAATGGCATAGGATTATCATTGCATAGCCATCGGGCTTGACAAGAAGTGGACGAGGGAAAAGAAAAAGAAAAAGAAAACGGGAAGAACAAAGGCAAATAGAGTAGAAAGCCGTGGCTTTCGTTCCTCAAACAAGACAGTTCCCCAAGAAAAGCCAGAGGCAGAGGAGGGAACTGGTGCCTGGAAGTGTGGCTGGGAGAAGTGTTCTCCAGTAGGGTAAGTGGAGGAAGGGGGGTGGGGTAGGAAGAGACAGCATAACGCTATGGCTTTTTGTAATTCAGCATGGAGACACCTCTCAAGCGATTCTTTCCTTTAAACAAAACAAGCCAAAAGTGAACTACTAGTTGCATGCAAGACTCTCCTAAACCTTACACTGACTGCTCTTTGCCCTTCCCTCCCTTTTCATTCAGTACATCACAAAATCGAACTATAAGCCAAAATGCCAAAAAAAAAATCTGCCTATTAGAAAATATGTTTCAGCAACTAATCCCCCTTCTGTTTTCCCACTGCGCTTACCTTTCTTTTGGGCATAGTTGCAGCTCTGTATAGGAGATTTTAACAGCACAAAAAAGCCAAAAGCAGTCTCTCTCCGACTGCTTGGAGAGCAACTGAGTTTTCTATGAACTAATTGCAGCACGACCTGTACTCTCCTCAAAAAAAAAAAAAAAAAAAAAAACCTTCGTTATTGGCAACAGTAAGTACACCAAGACGCAACCAAACTACGTGGAAAGGGGTTATGACTGGGAGATAGATTGGAGTGACAGACCATCAGGCCAATAGGGAAGTGGCCGGCCGGGGGGGCGTGGCCCGTGGATTTGCCAGAAGCCCTCTTAGGATGCCTGCTCTGGCCGCTGGCGAGCTGGAGGAGCACGCGGACTTAGTAGACGCAAAGTGCTTCAAGCCTAAGACTGGCAAGAAGGCGGGACTTGTCTTCATCTTTTTTTTTTTTTAACTCTCTTTTATGTTATAGTAACAGACGAAAGCCACTGCAGTTGCTTTCTCCGAGGGCTCCAAAACCGTCACCTTCCCCTCTTCTCCCAGTAGGAAAGTACTTTGGAGACAGAGTTCAGTTTGAACTCTAGTTCTTCCACCTTTGGCTGGAGTGGAGATAGACTGAGAGAAGCACTCATTTAGAGAGTGGACAAGAGTGGTGCTGTGTCTCTGGTTGTGGAAACTTCCTGCCAAAGCAAAAATGGGGTCCTGGCATGAGGAGGGCTCCAAAAATGGCGCGCATCTTTGGAAGATGGAGAGTAGATGCAAAACTGAGCTGGAAGAGAAGGAGACTCCGGGAGGCGAAGATACTGTTAAATACCGCTAAGCCACTTGGAGCGCGTCCACTAAGAATCCAATAGGATCCTGTATGAAGCTTGTAATAACAGAGGTCGGAAACCCTGGTGGCTAGTGGTTAAGAGTTCGGCTGCTAACCAAAAGGTCGGCAGTTCCAATCCACCAGGCTCTCCTTGGAAACCCTATGAGGCAGTTCTAGTCTGTCCTATAGGGTCGCTATGAGTTGGAATCGACTGGACAGCAACGGGTTTGGTTTTTGGTTTTTAATCCATAGGAAACGAGGAGCCTTGGTTGCGAAGTGGTTACAGCGTTGGGCTGCTAACCGAAAAGTCAGGGACTCAAACCCATCAGCAGGTCTGGGGGAGAAAGATGTGTCAGTCAGCTTTCTTACAGATTTACAACCTTGGAAACATATGGGGGCAGTTCTACTCTGTCCTGTAGGGTCACTATGGATCGGAATGACTCCAAGCAGTGGGTCATCTAGAGGAAAAATATTGATAGAGTGGATTTTGAATCCAAAGGTGGCATTTAGTGAAGGAATTTGGAAAGGTGCCACACGTAAGTGTTCAGGATTCAGTCTTGACTATGTTGAAGAGCGTGAGGCACTGACCTCTGGTGTGAAATTTAAATTGGTGCCAAAAACTCAGGCGATTAGAGGGAGATTGAAGTAGGAGGGGGGGTTAGCTGCTGAAATACGTATTCCCTAATCGGCAGAGTTTTTGCTTTTTTTTTTTTTCCATTTTGGTTTATATTTCGATTTTCTGATGGACTGAATGGAAGACGAAGGAAGGGTAAAAGGTTGCTACAGAATACCAAACCATCCTTTGAAATTAACTTACAGTTTAACTAAAGAATCCATCATTTTTATTTCTGCCCATTTTCCCCCAGCACCTACAGTGCACAATTAAACAGATGAGTAGGGTAAGACTTTGACTGCAGCTCAACTTCCCTCACCCTACCTTTATATTATGTTCTGAATCAAGTACATAAATCAGAAAGACATTAAAATTGCTCCTTTTGCCCATGGTTGTTGGAATCATTACTAGATGCTCTTGATACTTCTTTTCACCCTTATGGTGAAAGTATTGTTGGGTGAACCTAGGTATGTTTCAATCATTTTATTTTCCAAGTGTTAGAAGGTAACCGTAAAAATAACATTCAGTGTAAGAATTGCCTTGTTAGGATAAGGTGAAAAATGAAGGGAAAGAAAAATGTGCCAGCACTGGAACACATTCATTAATAAATTCTTGTTTAGTATTTCTTTCTTATTTTGTGAGTCTGATTTTGCTTTTGTAAACTAGCCTGTTATGAAAAAGCAAAACCTCATTGTATGCAAATTTGCATTATAGTTTCTGCCCTTAAGGATTTTATAATTTTGCAGGATGGAGCAAACAGATGCATAAACATTTACAAATTAGTATTGCTTGCATCATATGAGTGGTGCAATCTAAGCTCAATAGTAGAACAGGAGGGAAAGATCTTTTAGGGCTGAGAAGATTGGAGAAGGCTTTTGTTGAGGAGTGGTATTTGACTTTACTCTGAACTGTTGAGCAGACTGTTATATTATAGCAACAGCAGAGGTAGGAAATGTTTGTACTCGTTCAGGGAACAGAGTAACTAGTCCCAGTTGGTTGAAACAAAATGATCATGAAGAGACTCGGGAGGTAAGGCTTAGAGTTTGGAGGCAAGGCAAAATGTACAGGTCAGTGGTCTCTAAGATTCCTCTTACGTTTGTTGGTAGTTTTCTCTTATTTTTGGTCAGTTTTTTTCTCCTTGCTGTTTAACCTATTAAAACTGATTTATATCTTATTAAATTGAAAAAATAGTCATGCATGTATGCTTAAGAAAATTTTCTAAGTGTAGACATGCTTCTATTTCTTGATCCCTACTACCCGCCCCATGAGGAGCCCTGATGGTGCAAAGAGTTAAGCGCTCGACTGCTAACCAAAATGTTGGCAGTTCAGTAGTTTGAAACAACCCAACCGCTCCGAGGAAGAAAGACCTGACAATCTGCTTCCATAAATATTACAGCCAAGAAAACCCTATGAGGCAGATCTACTCTGTCACATGGGATCGCTATGAGTGAGAATCGGCTCGACAGCACACAACAACAACATCCACCGCGTGCTCTTCTTTTCAACCATTAATCAGGCTTATGCTTTGAAGTAGGCAACCTGGACTGGGATCTTTGCCTTTGCTATAGCCCCATTCTCTAAGTCTAGCCAACCGTTCAGATGCCAGCCAAATGACAAAAGCCTTCTCCAATCCTCTTAGCTCTAAAAGATCCTTTTCTCCTGTTGTACTATAGAACTTAGATCACATCACTCATATGACACAAGCAAGCTTGATTTTTTTCTGCTTTCCCCAACCATTCTATCCTCCTTCTTCACACTAATTCAAACTGACATGTACTTATTTCCTTTTTTCTAAATACTTTCTCAGCACTTCACTCTCTACATAACTCCCGCAGAAACAATACTGCTAAATTATTCTGTGAGTAAAGTTTTCATTTTTGTGTAACTGTCACCAAAGTAAAACTTTTTATTGGTTCATCTTTTCTAAAATTACACTAGTTTGTTTCTCTTTTTTAATTATTTATTAATGAGCATGAGAGTTGAATGCCTGACAGTTCTCAACACAGCTCCCTTATTTCCCCAGGCTATTAAGCATGCCTACCATCACTCTCAAAATTTACAGGAGCTTTAGCATGTCCATTTAGTAACCACTGGGAAATGAAACAGGAGGATATGAAAAATTACAGAATAAAGACACTGTCATGGATTGAATCGTGTCCCCCCAAAAATGTGTGTAGCAACTTGGCTGGGTCATGATTCCTAGTATTGTATGATTGTGTTATCTGATGTGAT